CAAAACAACGTTTGCCGGGTCAGCTAGTATGTTAATAAAAATGTTAACGCAAATGTACATGAAAGTGTTAATAAATAAAACGTTGTCTAAAATATACATCAAAATGTTAAGTGACATGTCAATAAAAACGAGCTATTGACTCTAGAATTCAGGCCGGTTCATACCCTGTCCCGGGTCTCAGATGATTTGGGTTTACTGTGGATCGTATGGAGCTTGTGAAACCATTGCTGTTGATGGCGCACTGTTATGGGGACGTTTATGCGTCTCCAAGACCTTAAACTCTTTAGGCATAAAAGCTATTTTATCTAATAATCGCTTGATAAAGAAATAACTGATCCCGGAAATGGGGCGCACTCGGTCTGATTTTTCGCCGTATTGAAAGGGTTAAAGTAATGCATACAAAGAGTTGCCTCAGTCTTTTATAATGAATTTGTAGAATAAATAATTTCTACACAGTAGCATTAACACAAGCAATTTGTTACTGCTTTGTTACGGTATTTTAAGAAATCATCGTAGTAAATCTGCACATCAGCAAGATTATCTGTAGAATAACTGATTTGTACAGTGTAGCAGTAACAAAAGCAGTTTGGTTACATTATTAATACTACAAAAAAAAGGGGAAATAATGTCTGAAAAAATTACCCTACTGTATGGTAAGGACATTTCTAGTGAATAAAAACCATAATTCTTGTTAATAAAACCAAAATATACGGTATTTAAACCATTCATTTGGTAATTTTTCCGCTCGTTTGGTCACGGTTTACCGGAAATTCTGTTTTTAAAATTATAGTTCTTATTACTACACAGTTAATTTAATATACAAGACTAAAAAGAAAATTTAACCTAATGTTTTTAGATTTATTTTGCCATACTCTGAGGTATCATGATAAAATGACCACATTTTACCACATTTACCGAATTATATATCGCATATTACGATATCATATTTTATGGTTAATTTTACCAAAATCATTATCGAAACGCTACGGTAAAAACTACTGAAATTTTTGGTATTCCCATAGATCAAGAAACACGGCAAATTTTACCGTGTTCTGGTAGTTTTCTCAATATACTTTTTCCGCAACTAAAATTGTAAGACATTGATTTAAGAAAAATATCCAAACATTTTTATGCTTTTTCAATTATTCAAATGTTTTTGCGTTTTAAAAATTATTCCAAATGGTAACACTTGAACTAAAATGGTTAAAAGTTGAGTTTTTATAGCTAACATTAGAATGAAAACTTAAATCATATGTAAGTTTGTTAGTGTTTCAGATTTTATAACGAAATCAATGTTGTTTAGTTTTATTTATTACGTTCATTAATGTAATTATGTTTATTGAATAACTATAACTCACTGTATGATTTCCTGATTGACATTGTTCTGGACCAATTCTGTTATCGCTCCGCATTTCTGAAGAAAAAAAAAACTTTTATAGCATACGATTATAGAATGCATTCATGCTAATGTATTTTAAATGTAATATATCATTTAAGACTTACCAAAAATTATATAAATATATCAAAATAAATATAAGATGGTTTATTATTTTCTCTTAATAATATATAACTTAAAATTTTTTGTCAAAATGGTCAAACAAACATACACATTCTCTCTAACTAATATTCGAGCGAAAAAAAGCATTATTAATGCCTGGTGAATCACTACTGAGGAAGGTAAAATCGTAGCAAGATGCTCCAACCACCATAGTTGTTTTCCCAGTCCAGGGAGAATTAGGATGCCTAATGTAACAGGTCATGAAATGTTTAAACACATGTTTCACATTACCCCACTATAGAGCGCAAGACAAAAATACGAGCCACCCTGATTAACTTTTGATCTAATGATCGAATCTTCACGTTCTAGAATTTAATTTCAATGGTTCAAAGGGGTAACCTCAAATATACTGAATAATTAACGATATTTATAGTTACGAAATTAAACACAAAAACGTATTTCCTCTGAGTAAGTATTTTTTTCCCGACGATTTCAAACTCATAAAATGTAAGGGCTAACCGTAATCTCAGAACTAGGGTCCCAATAGCTTGACCAAAAGAGCTGTCCAAAGTTTGGAACCCTTTATGTTAATTTTACTTTTTGCGTATTTCACAATCTCTCGAATGGAAAATTTTTGCACAAATTTATAAAATTCGTTTATTTCAATATAATATATCAAACTGTAAGATATGTAGTTTACTACAGCATTATAAAAAATGTAATTTTAAAGGACGAAACAAAATTTGAGCGAAATCGGTCAAATAGTTTATCAGAAATCCTATTTTGTAAAAGTCGTATTTTTAGAATTTGATTTCTCAGGAAAAATATGACTAATTGCGCTCAAAATTTCTAATTTCTCAAGTAAAAATACATTCTTTAAAATAATGTCAAAAGTTGCATAATTTACAATCCAATTTTTTGTCCACTGCTATTTAATAAAACAATAAAAATTAATAAAGGCTTACTAAAATTCATTTTTTGCGTGAATTTATCATTGTTAAAATTAATATTTGTATTTGTATAATTTATATTTGTGTGCAAAATGTTTTCAATTTTCTTAAAATGTTTTCGAAATATGGCGAAATCAAAAAAGGAAAATTTACAGTAAGGGGCCCAAACTTTCGACCACTCTCCTAACCAAACTAACCATATATCCCAGCTTGAGGCCTAGCCCAGCCCCTATATTTTGGGGGTCGCAAGTACCCATTCATCGAGAAAAAAAATAACTATGTTTATTTAGAGAAAGTATAATTTCGTGGCTGATTTCGTAACTCAAAACATCGTCTGCACTAATTAGGTCACCCCTCTAACCATTGAGTCCTAGAACGAGAAAATACCTTCATTAGACCAAAAGCTATTCAGGGTGGTCCAGATTTCATTTTGCGCATTGTACATAACATATAACTTGAATGAGTCAGGAATGGGTGGAAAATAAACTACTCCGTGAGCTCGAACCACTGTCCTTGACATTACTATTTCCAGAATAGTTGCCAAACTTTAGTTGGAAACATACAATAATGCTCAAAAAATATCTGATATTATTTCAGAATCAAATCTATTATTGCTTTATTTCAATACATAAATTTAAATTATATTTAAAAAATTAGTCAGAACCAAATAGCTAAAATAAAAATTAAGGTGGCTCAAACAACTAAACCATTTTACATCGTGATGTATTTTACGTTTTGTATTCCGCCAACAATTAACTAATTTTACATTACAAAATCTTTTACATTAAATGCAACCGTTACATAGGTACAATTCTATATTTTACATTCTGAAAACAATTAACCAGTTTTACATTAAATGATTAACAGTGGCTTCTACACAATGATGAGATCTATATTTTGCATTCTACCAACCATATTACATAAAAATCAGCAGCTGCTACCTAATAAGCTATTTCTTATTTTATTTACTGAAACTTTAAAATTGTTCCAATCTTAGACAGTACAAAAATCATTTTAACACGTATTTAAAATAACTTACCTTCAAACATATCGTGCATTAATTTACCATAAGTATCACACTCTGGATACAAGGGTAGCATAATCATTCCACCAGTGCCTCCTGGAGCAGCAGCTCCTATTGGACCTCCGGCGCCTCCTGGACTACCTGGTGGTCCAGGAGTACCAGGACTACCAGGTGGATAACCAGGGCCTCCTCCTCCACCTTGGCCTCCTGTACCACCACCTCCTCTTGGACCACCTGCACCTCCTGGTCCGCCGGCCCCTCCTGGTCCACCTGGGCAATTACGAAAACCAGTTCCTCCCTGGCCCCCAGTGCCTCCTGGACCACCAGTACCTCCTGGGCCACCAGCGCCTCCTGGACTACCGGCCCCTCCTGGGCCAGCAGGGCAACCTGAAGTACCTGGTGCTCCAGGAGAACCAGGACTACCACCTTGACCTTGTACTGTTACAAGGATTACCACTGTGATGAATAAAACGGTAAATATGAAACACTTCATGTCGAAGCAGAAGGAAACATGCAAAAGTACGCTTTTTATAACAGTCGTTCGATTCCGTGTGTATACTTCCTGCAGCGTATCTGATACATCTATAAATTATTAGCAACACGCGCTGTCGAAACAACACGTTATCAGTAACCTTCTAGACACGCGCTGTAGAAAATTTTCTTCTTCTTTTGCGTAAGAGGAAGCAGTAAGATTAAGAGTATAAGCAAATGATAATAGTTGGATAATAGTTGGATACACGTGTTGAAGAGACAAATAAAAACTTCTTACTTGCGACTTCCTCGTAAGTTCAATTCTAATCTTATTTTAGAAATTTAGAAGTTATTGATCAGGTTTTCCCCTGAATAAATTTCGCGTGAGTTTGAAACAGTAATAGAATAATACATGCTATCTAAATAATGAGTTCGAAATATTATTGCCTATGAGAAAAATTTGATCTTATTACATTACTAGCTGGATGCCCGTTCTTAGCAGCGGTTGAGAAAAAAATAGATTATCATTAATTTAATGTAGAACAGCATTACAAAATCATGTACAAAACTAAAAGACATATACAAACACAATTAATACAGCTAAAGTAATTTCATTTTTATTTATTTATTTATTATTATTATTTGTCCTTCTCGGTTGCTTTGTGTTATTAGATAAAGAAAAACCTAAAATAATTTTTTTGTAATTTTACTAATTTCCAATTTACACCTGTGTTAACATTTCTTCAATACAGACATTTACAGGGCAGATTTGTTGGCCACTCTTACAATGGCACTATATTAGGTAGGCCAACGTTGCACCCACAGGAAGGACAGGTAGTATGGAGAATGAAAAAACATCCATGCCATTCCTGGGATTCGAACCCAGAACCTTTCTGATGCAAGGCCAGTTCCCTGACAAAGTACTACTACCGTTACAGTCCGGTCGGTTCAAATAAAAATGTTATTGAACGATGAAGACTCACAATCACCAAAATGGACCACAAACTGGTGGGGTTTTTCCTGTACTTATTCGTAGGGCCATGAAAAACTCCCTTCAGCGGTATCTATAATAAAACTGCAGCAATAATCATGATACCAATATTGCCTTCATATTTTTTAATTAAGCATCATAGTCAGTAATAACACAACGATTTTTTATCTTTCTCTTAGAGGAATAAATTGAATTTCTCAATTAATTTTGCATTTTAGTCTATGGCTTGTTCTTTAATTTCAGCTAGTACTCATTATCAAAATCAAATAAGCACCATTGGCGTCAAAAAATGTATTACAAATTTTTTCTTTTCTTCTAAACGAAAAAAATTATTTCTCCATCAATTTTGTGTTTCAGTGACTAATTTATTTTATTTTAATTACTATTAATGCAAAATAATTTTGTTTTACAGTAATACGTTTGAAACAGTAAGAAAAAAATAAACACGTTGTTTCAGATTATTTCAGGAATACTCATTTGGAGAGGTAGTCCACTTATACTAGCACGTTATAGCTAATAATTGAGACATAAAGAATAAAAAACAACTAAACATTAAAGAAAGTGCAATAAGCTATTTTTTTTTAAATAATAAAAACTATCTATGAAAGCTATAAGCTAGCAAACAATCCCGATGTTATCTTTAAAATTATTTATAAACAAAATCGTCTGCAATTTTATTTATAAAGGCTAATTGATATGGGAAAATATCATCTTTTAAACGTCTGTACCAAATGATCAATTGAAATTTTTGAACAATTGTTCGGATCATGAATTATAATTAATCCTTTACACCTCTGTCCGAATTTCAGAACACTAGAACAAAGAGTTATAAGAGAGAGAATCACAAACACATTTTATATTACAGATGAAAAATCAAAACTAATGAATAACGTAGTATTTTAACAACATACACAGATCGTATGCAAAGATATGATTCCATGGTAAAATTAAAATTAAAATTTCATTAGAATCCTTGCCCAGAGGTATCGTCATACGATGCTTACGGCGCAACCCTACTATGAACTGTTCCTTCTTGTGCTCCTAGACAGGTCATAATAGAAAAGTGCCCCTAACCGCGTGCGACGACAAAGTAACTCCCACATCAAGCACTGTGAAAAACTGGCCTTCGTGGAGAACTTTGTAATGGAGTAAACCTGTCTTTGCGCTACATGGAGAGGATAATCGCAAAAACCTCACACGGTTAGCTCGACAGCAAGGTGCACTATAACCAATGGTCCATTTACCATTTTACGTCAGCACTGTGGTCGGTTTAAACAAGGTTGCTCAATTTTCTGAAATTTTTGCACTATTCATTGTGTAATATTTTGACAGCTGATGAAATGATTAGGGTACAATTAAATTAAAAGTGTTTTGTTTAGCATTATATTTAAGTTATTCTTTTGTCATAACTAATATATTAACTTGTGATAGTTTTAGCCTGTTTGAATTCTTAGATATATGGAATTTTATTGTACCATTTAAAGTAACGATGAAATTAAATATATTTTTTCACACAAAATATTCGTGGTTTTGTATCCGAATTAAATCAAATAGGCGTTTTATTTTAAGACAAAATTATTTTTAATAAGCGAAAAGAATATATTTAACTACTCAGTTGTATAAATGACTGTTTATAATCTGATCCATCCCTTATTTTAACCAATTCAATTAGAAAGAATTTTCCTTAGAAAGAAACGATATAATTATGAAAATTTTTTTAATCGGAATTCTAACTTTTCAGTAAGAAATTCAACTACGTATCAGAAGCATTAAATTAATTAATTGTTTTTGAAGTTTTAAACATTAAAAGTGTGTTATTGAAACAAATTTTGTATTAAAAAATGCAGAACTTTATAATTGAATATATTTATTTCACCGACATTTCATGTTTCATCATAAAAGGTGGCAACAGTTATATTGACAATTTAAATTTCGATTTCATCAAACTTCGGCTCCGTTACATGAATTTCCTTGTACAAACTCCATAATCTTATCCACACATTCTTGTGGCATTGGCTCAGTTACTGCACAGCGAACCTTTTTCGCATCTTCAGACATGCATATCTAAAAAATAAATAAATAAATACATAAAAAAAATTAAGGAACATGACAAAAAAGTACCTTTATTCTACTATTCGAAAAGAAAAAATAACTTTAAAGCTTAATTTTAAAAATTGTAAAATAAATTGAATTTTTAATTCTGTTATGTGATATATGTAGAAAGCGACGTCAGAGAAGAGTTAAAAAAATTGTTTTAATTAATTATATTTGATTTCATGATTAAACTTACTATCGTTTCTGTTTAAAAAATTACAAAATGTAAAATCTTTTTTAATGACATTTTTGCAAAGCTGCTTTTCGAATAATAAAAGTTTCTACGCATTAGAATTAGCCTGATAGAGGAAAGGGGACTATTCGGCCATTTTTCACTAATTTATGAAAATACCTTATTTAATATATTTTTTTAACTCATAAAGTGTTTTCTTAAGAATAATTTGGACGTTTACCTGCATTCTCGTTTATATTTGGAATTACAAAACTGATTATTGAATAATAAGTTTTATAAAAAAAGGTTGTTTTTGTAGACATTTGCACCACTACATGGGACAAGCTATGCGGCTAGAGTGGATGAACTTAATAACTTATTATTTCCTCGTTTAATACAACTACAATACTCGTTTAATACAATTAATGCAATCAACTACAATCTAAGTCTTAGTGAAGAATAAATACTGGCATATTATAATTAAAGTACTAATTTGCACTATTTATTATACTGAGAAATACAGTTTGAAAGCAAGGCAATACATTTTGAAACAATTATTGAACTTGATTTATTTGAAAGCAGAAAGCCAAATTTAAGTGAAATTTTTAATATCCATAGTTTTTAATTGATGATGAAATGTTTTGAATGGACATCACACGCAAACAAATCGCAAAAGCGTTACAGGACCGTTCGTGGTTATTCTGTTTTAGAAAAATGTGTTACAAAAAATAAATATTTGAAAAATACTTTGTTTTCTTTATTAATTCAACTTTAATGAATCATATTCTATTCACTAATTTCATAAAACAACTCTGTTAAATGTTCTATAAACCTTCAAAAACTGGATTAATAGAGAGATTTCGTGCTAAATTTTTCACTTGAGATTGAAACAACTTTTTGTATATTGTATATCATTCCACAAAATCATTCTAGTTTAGAAAATAAATAACGTCAAATGTGTTACATTTTTACGATTTTGTGGGACTTTATGAAATCACTCTAGTTGATTTGCACATTAGCAAGATAATTTGTGGAATAAATCATTTCTACACAGTAGCAGTAGCACAAGCAATTTGTTACTGCTTTGTTACGGTATTTTAAGAAATCATCCTAGCACATCTGTACATCAGCAAGATTATCTGTAGAATAACTGATTTGTACAGTGTAGCAGTAACACAAGCAGTTTGGTTACATTATTAATACTACAAAAAAAGGGGAAATAATGTCTGAAAAAATTACCTTACTGTATGGTAAGGACATTTCTAATGAATAAAAACCATAATTCTAGTTAATAAACCCAAAATATACGGTATTTAAACCATTCATTTGGTAATTTTTCCGCTCGCTTGGTTTGATTTACCGAAAATTCTGGTTTTTAAAATTATAGTTCTTATTACTACACAGTTCGTATAATATACAAAACTAAAAAGTAAATTTAACCTAATGTTTTTATTTTTTTATTTTGCCACGCTTTGAGGTATCATGATATAAAATAATCATATTTTGCAACATTTACCGAATTATATATTATACATTATGAAATCATGTTTTATGGTTAATTTGCCAAAATCATTATCGAAACTACGGTAAAAACTGCCGAACTTTTAGGTATTCCCATAGAGCAAAAGGCACGGAAAATTTACCGTGTTATGGAAGTTTCAACCACGCATTTTTTCTCAGTGTACTATTTCTGTAAAGTAAAATTGTAAGACATAAATTTAAGAAAAATATTCAAAANTGACTCTTCTGAAACTGAAAACTCTTGAGTCCTCATTAAAGATTAGAGGAAAGCAGCGAGAGCTGAGTCTACATTAGTGGTTTATAAATAAATATGTTAATAAAAATGTTAACGCAAATGTACATGAAAGTGTTAATAAATAAAACGTTGTCTAAAATATACATCAAAATGTTAAGTGACATGTCCATAAAAACGAGCTATTGACTCTAGAATTCAGGCCGGTTCATACCCTGTCCCGGGTCTCAGATGATTTGG